GGAAGAGGAGCAGAAGGAGATGCTCAAAGGAATCAGTCAATATCCACAGTACCTCTGTGTCCAGATGTGCACAGAAATGTACACACATCTCTATACTGGTGTCCATACACCAGTGCAGCTGTGGGCAAAACCTCAAACTGGTGGCCACCAACCACATGAAATGAGTCAGAGATTTGGCCTCTGGCACCACAGTGCTCACCCTCAGTACAGGGGATGAGATGGGATGTGAGGAAGAATTTCTTTGCTGCAAGGGTTCTGAGGCATTGGAAGGGGTTGCCCAGGGCAGTGGTGGAGTCCCCATCCCTGGAGGGATTGAAGAGTCGTGTAGACACAGTGCTGAGGGACATGGGTTAGTCATAGGGGACTGGTCAGTGTTGGGTTCATGGTTGGACCCCATGATCTCAAAGGGCTTTTCCAATCCAGGCGATTCTGGAGTTCTGGGAAGAATTAGAGCAGCAGCAGCAGCAGCTCTGTGGTTCTGTACCACGTTAGGAGAAATAACTTCAAGGGAACATCACAACCAAGGTGAAGGGAGAACTCAAGTCCCACCCAGCAGATGTGTCCCCGTTACAAGGTCCTTTCTGACACGTTGGGATTATCCAGCTCTCACTGTCTTGAATCAAAACAGTCTCAGTCACGAGGAAACCTGAGCAAGAACTGAAGAACTGCTGCCTTCAGCTCATTGCTTTAAACAACCTAAAATCAGATTTATTGATTTTTTTTTCCTCTCTTTAACAGCTTTATTTCAAAAAATATGATCACGTGGGCTTCACATCCGCCCCTGAACGTGCAGGTTCTGTTAGAGATTGGTGTCAGTTCAATATCACTGATGTTCTCTGGCAGTTCCAGTGGCAGCTGGTCCAGGACAGACACCAAGAAGCAAGAATTCTCTTCTCATTCTCTCCTTGGCTTCCTGTATATATATATATATATATTATTTTGGCAGTATACTTTAAAATATCAAAGTTTTTAAATTTTTAATTATTAAAGAAAAAATATTTTCAATTATTTAGTATTTTTAAAGTATTTATTATTTATTTTATTATTTTTTTTAAAAAAAGCCTGGAGCTTTATTTTAATTTATTTCTTGGTTCCTGAACTTTTCTCCTTGATATTTTCCAACTATTTTTCAAGAAAGCTGTTGCTTTGATTTGGAAGGAGAAGGGAAGAAATTTTAGCCTAAGACTTGATCCTCTCAGGCTTTAGAAATTAAAAACCAGATGTAATAAGATTGATTAAACACTTGAGCATTGAAGAGATCGATGCATTGTGCTTAATCCCAGCTAATTTGAAAAAAATTATATATATTATACTCTAATATTAAATATTTAATTGTAAAACTATCACAAAAATATCACTTGAGTGATATTTTCTCCAATATCTCTGTTTTCTTGCTCTCTCTCACTTGGGAACAAGCTGGACAGCCCCATATTTTTATTTGGGGCTCATTTTTGATCTTTTATAAATATATTTTTTTAATACTATTTTATTTTATCATATTTTATACTAAGGATTTGCTTGGTTTAAGCCCTAGAAATTTGGAAAACTTACTCAAAATATTTGCTCAGGTATTTGTTTATTTTATTTTTAATTTTTCCAAATTATTCTTTTAGTGGCTTTTGGAGGGAATAAAAATAAATCACAATGGTACTTAAAGGCAGAGCTGGTTTGAAAGAAGCTTTTGAGGTTCCTTATCACTTATAATTCACTAATTAGGGGGAAAAAACTATATTTTTTTTCAATTTTCTCTCCCTAATCTAAATCTTGACACTTTAATCTCTGGGAATTCCAAAGAGGGAGATATAAAACTGTTGTAGATGCTTCTGTAAGGAGAAATAAATAGTTGAACTCGTTATTTTATATTATTTCATGGCAAAGGGTTTGAGTTTTTATTTAATTAACCCTAGAAAAAAAAATAGACACTACAAAAACCCTCCTGCTTAAAATATTTTCTAATTTAAACTGGGGTGAGAGCTTTTTTTCCCAGTTGTCTGTGAATTTTAACCACTTCTGGCTGGTTTTGTCCCTCGTGCACGTGCGGGGACGTTTATAAGCGTGGGGTCTGAAGGGGAATTAGGCTTTTCCCTGTGTGAGTGCTGGGGATGTAAATTGAATTTTACATCTGATTTAAAATGATTTTATTCCTGCCAGAGAAAGAAAACGAGCTCTTCCCACCCACAGGTGATTAATAAATCCACTTGGTGAGCTTCAGGAGTGGGAAAGAACACCAGTGAGGTTGGGAATCCCTCCTCACAGCAGCTGAAATGTCAGCTGGGGTCACTCCACTGCTTGAAATAATCGAGGGTTAAATCAGTATTTAATTGATTTAAATTCCACAGTAGTGTCACCAAAAAAACAATTAATAGAGTTCAGAGGATGATTAAACCTTTTGGAAAGCTGAGCTGTTGTTTCTGGGGTTTCTTATCGATGGTGGAACAGCTTCTGAGGAGAATTTGAAGGTAACAGAGTCTTTTGGTTTCGTTCTGGAGGAGAATCCTAATGAAACATCATTTTTTGTTCATATCTTTATATTCTCCCCTTGTTACCCAGATTGTCAAAGGTGCCTTGAAATTTTCCTCTTCTCCTCAACCCCCAAAGAGTCTGTTTTTAACAGCGTGGCTGAAAAATGTGAATACCTTCAAAGGCAAGAATTAAATCAGAAATATAAATCATAAATTAAATCATAAATGAAATCATAAATGAAATCATAAATGTAAGAACATCAGAATGTTCTTACCTTCAAAGGCAACAATTAAATCATAAATTAAATCACAAATTTAAATCATAAATCATAAATCATAAATTAAATCATAAATGTAAGAGCATCAGAGTGTTCTTACCTGCAAAGGTGAGAATTAAATCACAGCTGAGGCTTCCTGTGGATGGCAGGGGGTGCAGCAAACGTCGACTGGAAATTAGAATAAAACTCATGTAAAGAAATCATCACTTGACCAAATCACTCCAGTACCCGTGAGAGGAGGTAGAAGCTTCCACCTGCAGAAGTCTTGGCTGTGCTGGTGCTGAGGTGACTTTTGGTGCTGTACAAATGTGGAACAGGCCCCTGACTCCCTCAGTCTCTGCTCAGGGTTTCCCAACAGGTCGTTATTTTCCACGTTGTCTTTGTGCTCACGACAGGAGCAAGAGCGTTAAAGTGACAATTAAGGTGTGACAAGTTCTCTTCACTCTGTTTGGTTTCTGTTGCAGTGGAAGATCGACGACAAACCGGTGAAAATTGACAAGTGGGACGGTTCAGCTGTGAAAAATTCTTTGGATGATTCTGCCAAAAAGGTAAATTCTGAGCCTGCTGACTCCTCCCTCTTGGGAAACACTCGCTCTTCTCTGTAAGGCCAGAAGGGCCAATAACCGTGTCCTGGGCTGCACCCAGAGCAGCGTGGGCAGCAGGTGGAGGGAGGGGATTCTGCCCCTCTGCTCCGCTCTCCTCAGCCCCCACCTGCAGTGCTGCCTCCAGTGCTGGGGCCACCAACAGCACAAGGACATGGAGCTACTGGAGCCAGTGCAGAGGAGGCCACGAGGATGATGCCAGGGCTGGAGCAGCTCTGCTGTGAGGACAGGCTGAGAGAGTTGGGGCTGTTGAGCCTGGAGAAGAGAAGGCTCCGGGGAGACCTTCTAGTGGCCTCCCAGTACCTGAAGGGGCTCCAGGCAGGCTGGGGAGGGACTTTGTCCAAGGGCAGGGAGTGAGAGAACAAGGGGTGATGGCTTGAAAGTGTCAGAGGGGAGATGGAGCTGAGATGTGAGGAAGAAATTGTTTGGTGTGAGGGTGGTGAGCCAGTGTCCCAGGTTGTCCAGAGAAGCTGTGGCTGGTCCTCCCTGGAAGTGTTTGTGGCCAGGTTGGATGAGGCTTTGAGCAACGTGGTCTAGTGGAAGGTGTCCCTGCTGCTGGCAGGGGGGTTGGGACTGGATGAGCTTTAAGGTCCCTTCCAACCCAAACCACTCTGGGATTCTGTGAAGTTTTTTGGTTGTCTGGTTCTGTAGCACCTCCTGTGATTCCTGTGGCTGAAGCAGCGTTTGGGTATCAGGAGTTATTACAGTGTCTGTCACAGACATTAATTCTGCTCAGTTTCCCGGTATAATTTGGATTGTTTTTATCTAAATTCTTTCTAGGAACAGTTTATCAACTTTATGAAAAGCACAAAATAAACTGGGCTGTGTTTTTCTCCTGCAGGTTCTCCTGGAGAAGTACAAATACGTCGAAAATTTCCGGTTGATCGACGGCCGCCTCATCATCTGCACAATCTCTTGTCTCTTTGCCATTGTAGCTTTGATTTGGGATTACCTGCACCCTTTTCCTGAATCCAAACCTGTTCTTGCCTTTTGTGTTGTCTCATATCCTTTACAAGCATATTTATATCAAAACAGGTTTATTTTCCCCATAAATCAGAACAAAACCCGTCTCTGTAAAACCATTTTCAGGCCTCCTCGTGGTGTGGAGAGCAGCTGATGATCAAATAGTTTTCATGTGACTGCAAAATTCCTGCCTGTCTGGCTGTGCCACACCTAAATGGGGGTGATGTGGGGTTTCTGCAGCAGCGTGGAAGCCTGGAGAGCAGCTCAGCTCACGTCAGAGGAGTCATCAGCTGATTGAGCAGCTGATCTGCTCTCCGGGCTCCTGACTGCCCCGAGGTGATTTCCCAGATCTCAGACACAGAGATTCAT